CTGTGTGTACCTTCCCCTCTATCAGGAGCCCCGTGGACTCTGGCTTTGATGGTTGCTATCTGAAATGTCCCATTGACCAGTTTATGTCTATGAGTAACTATAAGAGACTTCATTAAATGAGGATTCCTAATTTTTCAAGTTTTTTTAAACTCCTCTCCCTCCCTCCCTCCCTCCTTCCCTCCCTCCCTCCCTCCTCTTCCCTAGCCAGTTTTCTCCTAACACTGACTCTCCAATGTTCCCATCAGGAACTCTCAGCCCAGGGAAAAACAAGCTCATTCTCTGAGACCCACAGGGGATTTTTAGGAAGCCCAAGTTCAATTTTCTAAAATTTGATATCTTACTTAGGCATGGTGGTGGCTCACTCCTGTAATCCTGGCATCTGAGAGGCCGAGACTGGAAGATCATGAGTTCTAGGCCAGCTGGGGCCACATAGTGAGACCTTGTCTCAACAAGTAAACCAACACAGCTGAAAAGTTTATGCCAATGTCGGACCCCACTTACAGGATTCTTCTTTTGAAGCTGACCCTCTTGGAAGATGAGCCTTGATTACAATTGGCCTCGTGGCACACTGCCATGGTCTCTAGAGACCAACACAGAGAAACAAGGACCTGCTCTATGCTTGCTCTTTTATCAGGAATATGGACCCCAATAAACTGCTTAGAAGCAGCACCCAGCTGCTGGTGGCACTGAGCTCAGGGACAGCTTGCTTTCTGGTGACAGGTACCTACCAAGATTTGGTAGCAGCTCTGGGCAGCTTCCCTTTAAGAGAGAGGCAGGTACTGGCTGGAAGAAAAAGCAAAAGCCTCCCTGCCTACAGAGAGGCCTGGGAGAACAGTTCAAAGCTGGGTGGAAGAGAAGCCAAGAGACCCACGTTCATGCCCAGGCAACCCAAGTCCTTCTCCCAACTGCATCCATTCAGGCCTGAGACTCAGATGAGGAACTGTTCCCTGATTACCTGGTGCTTCCTCTGTGAAAGTCAGGAGGGGGTGGGATGAGATGATACCCAAGGGTCCTCTCAGCTCCAGGCTCCGCTCCGCCCTTCCCTGGACTGTTTGGTTTTCAGCTGTCTTCTTTACTGGTCCACCTAACTGCTTCTGAAAGTGCTGTGTGCACCCACCCTAGTCTTGAAAAAGACTAGAAGCATGGAGTTCTGCTGCAGCTCAGGCAAGTGACATGGAATGAAGCTCACAAGAGAAACAGGGTTGCCGGGTCTCATTCCTGTGTCACAGAGAACCCCGGACCTTCTAGACAAAGCCTGAAAGCATCATTGGTGGGGAGACCCTGGACTCCTGACACAGGATCCTGAGCCAGTTGCAATGCCTTCTGGGAACAGCACTTTTCTCTTGGCCAACAGGCTTCTAGGGTGGCACAACTCCCTGAGACCACAGGGTAACAGGCCTGAGGGAAGAGTCGAGAAAATGGTCTAGAGCTGAAGGCATGCTGGGCGGGAACAGAGGCAAAGCGCCCGAAGGGCCTTACAAGCTCTCTCTTGAACCTACGAAGGCTAGCAACCTCCGTTCCTAAGAGGGATGCTCTCAAGGCCTGGGAGGTTCACGTCGCTGGCCTTGGTACAGTCCCAGAAGTCAGCCCTGCAATGGAGGAGACAAGAAAGCCACACTTCATTATGTGACCTAGAATGCTACTGCTCCAGCCCAGATGCGGCTCACATTTCCAGCTTCCTTTCCACTGTCCAGAATGATTACCCATGGCCTCTTAGTTAACAAAATGAAAATTTATTAAATTTTCAGTTCTAATAAATAGTCAGTTGCCTCTTACAACAGGCTCCAAGCCCTTGCAAAATGACATGTTTGTGTAACCATTCAGAGAGAACACATTAAGCTGCGGGCTTCGATTACAACCGGAGTCGCTCTCCTCTCTGACTCACTGCCGTCACCCCGCTGCAGCTTAAAGGCTTGAAGATGAATCCGTTTTCTTATCACATAAGAGCCCAAAGATACATAGCCAAACAGGAAACAAAACAAACAAAAGAAAACAGTAAACAAAAGACTCCCAAACCGAGAAGCAGGTATAAAGAGTCGATGAGACGCTTTTCCCCATCTGTGGAACCAATGACAGCGATGCTTGGAAGGAAGCCCAGCAAAAAGAAGGCCCAGATACATTCTGGAGTGTTCGTTCCCTTTTCTTGAGGGGCTGGGTGAAGTGGTGAGGTCAGCCATCCACAGTTCCAGGCTAGAATTAGGCTCTTCAGGGCTTTTCATCATCAGGGCTGGACCATCATCAGTGGGGAATCAAAGTTAGAGAGAAACCCATTCCCCTCGGGCAATTAAAAAACTCTGGAGGATGGTGAGGACCTCAGCCATTCCAAATATGAAACTCTTAACCTCTGAGCCATCTCTCCAGCCAAACTCGGATTTCAAGAGTTAACTAAAAGGCAGGCAAGGAGGCTCCAGTCCCCAACCTTGAGAGGTTAGTGTTGCCTGAGGCCAAGGTCAGATTTCAAAAGCTGGACTTGAGAAGCAGATAGCAGCAACCAGGGGCAAGGCCGAGCTCATGGGGGCAGGCCAGCGTCTCATCCTCCACTTGCTCCTGGGTCTCTTCGTCCGGCAGCAACTTCTGGTTCCTACCTGTCTCCACTGGTCTCTGCCAACCTGTTATTCATTACTGCAAAGGCTCCCACACCCCCTGAGAACTCATCATCCCTGGAGGATGCATTGGGCTGGTGGGGTCCACCATTGGCCATCTCGGACAACTGCTTCTGCAGGATGGCCAGTGAGACCTTGTTGGTGTCCTTCATGGAGATCATCTCCCCCGAGAGACGTCGCCCATCAGTGTCACTTTCCATCACCCCATCTGTCTCTATGGAGATGTTGCACCTGTTCCGGATGTTGCCAGGCATCACCACATTCCTCCTGGACCGCAGGAGTCCCCTTTGGCATTGTGGGAAGCACCCACTCTCCAGTTTCCTCAGGATCCAGTTCACAGTCTGTTTGATTAGGATGGAGATGACGTTGAACAAGGAGTAGATGCAGCAGACGCCCGTGAGGATGAAAAAGAAGTTGGCAAATCGGTAGAGTCCTTGGCTCTCATACTGAGCATTCTGGCTGCTGACCAGGTCCCCAAAGCCAATGGTGCTGAACGCCACAAAACAAAAGTAGAGTGAGTCAAAGTAGCTCCACCCTTCCATGGTGGCATACAGAGCCGAGGCTCCGCAAGAGATGGCCACGGACGCCAAGCATAGGATCAGCATGACGTAGTACACAGAGGGCTTCCAGCCGGCCAGGCTATCCGCCTCGCCCTTTTCAGGGGCCTTCATGTTGTCCTGGGTCGTCACCCCACGTCTCCGCAGCTGCTGCTGGTGACAGGATCTCATGACGTAGGCGATGACGGTGATCAGCCGCTCCAGGAAGAGATTGAAGAAGAGGATGGTGCTTGCGCATCCAACGAGACCGTAGAAGATGAGAAAGATCTTCCCTCCTATGGTGGCTGGTGTCGTCATCCCAAACCCTGACGAAGAAAAAGAGCAGAGGAGAAAAGAGTGAGGCGGGGGCTTGCCCGAGAGTGGGGTTGGAGGCTGGGGAAGGACTGGAAGAAACAGTGTTTGAAAACCCCTTAGCCCCAGCCTTTCTAGGAAAGCGGAGAACCCCCACCTCCATTGGAAGGCTGTTGTTCAGCACATGGAGTTGGCCCGCTGCAAGCCCATATGGTGCTATTGTGCAAGGCAGGAAAAGGCTCCTCTTCCTCTGAGTGGAGGATCCAGCCAGAAAAAGAAAAAGGCTTAGTGACGAGGATGTGACTAGGTTTCAGCCTCCTCCCCTCCTTTTGCGGGATGTCCCTCGTAAGCTATGGAACACACACCGCCAGAATCAACAGACCTGGCTCAGCGATACAAAGACTCCTACAAAAACAAAGGCTTGTGCAGACTCATAAGAATTCATTCATCCCACAAACCCAGGACTGGGGATAAAACCAGAGCTCCTGTCTCCTTGGATCTCTGGTTCTGCAAGACAATTGGTATATTGTGTGTTCTGTACTGGACTTGGCAGTGGTATTGGACTCTGTGGCAGCTGCTGAGAGGGGGGTACCCCCTTAAGACTTGGGGTTCTGGGAAGACTACAAGAGGGTCTTTGAAACCAAAGAGGTATTGTACAAGCAGAGGGTACATGCAAGTAGTAATGGTGGTCGCCTTTCTTCCTTCTCTTGTTTGTATGTACATGTATGTGGTAAGTGTGCGTGTGCATGTGCATTTGGGGACCGGAAGTTGATGGTGGGATTCTTCCTCAACTGCATTCCACTTATTAAGGCAGAGCCTCTCACTGAAACTGGAGCTCACTGATTCCTGCCAGCTTAGCTCGTCAGCCTGCCCTGAAGGTGCCCAGTCTCTGCCTCCTGAGTGTTGGGACCACAGGCAGTCACTAGGCCTGCCGGGCTTTTTCATGAGTTCTGAGAATCTAAACTCTGCTCCTCACACATTACCCTTCACTTTCAAGTTCAGCTTTCTCATTGTGTCCTATCACTGGGATCCCAAGCCTCAGCCATCATCCTGTCTTTGTAAATCCTCCTCGAACCAATCCCTTCTCTGTTGCTATGGGCCAACCCGTGGCTGCCTGTCCTAGGTTCCCTTGGGAAATGGTCAGATCAGATCTTTAGATGTGTGGGTTTCGGGCCTTATGACCTCGTGGTGTCCTGAGATGAAGTCAACCACCTTTCCCAGGCACCTGATCTGTACATTCATAACCATTCAATTATCCAGCTAAAGTCCTGGTTCTCAGCATGCGTGGTTCTCAGTTGTATCTAGTGGGCAAGCTAAAGGCCTTAAACCAAGATGATGAAGGAAGATACTGAGTTCTGCTTCTAGCAAAATAGGATAGAGAGGAATAGATGGAGTAAGGGTAAGGAAGGAGTGAGGGGCAGGGAAAAATGGGATGGAGATTTTGAGGGCTAGGACCCTTAATGGTGGAGAAAAAACAAATCAGAATATCACCTCTTCTTGCTTTAAAAATCCAAGTCCTTGCAGCCCCCTTGCAGTGAAGATTCTTTCTCACCTTCATTATGCAAAGAAATGTGTTGTTCCCTCTCTGGTTAGGATAGCAATTCTTATCCCCAAGCTCAGATGAGGTGGTTAGAGTTGTAGACTTGAGTTTGATGAGTTAAGTGCATTGAGTTTAACAAGTAGGTTTCAAACAACGTCATGTTCTGTTCAGTCCAAAAGAACACCACTGGGTCACCAGTGTGTCAGGCAATTAGTTCTCGATTATTGAAGGAACTTGGAGCTACTCTGATGGACTCAGCAGATTCCCTGAACCAGGAGAGCTTGTGATTGCTCCCTATAGAAGACAAGAAGCAGACGGCTGAGCCCATGCACTGTGTGTTTGGAACACTGCTGTGATAGGGATGTTTTTATTGTCCCCAATTCCCATGCTCATCTTCACCCACAAGGTGATAGACAGTTCTATTCTAGAAGATGGACCTTTGGGAGGCGATTAGCTTATGGGGGTGGGACCTTCATGGGTGGCATCTGTGTCCTTATAAATGATACCTTGGGGGTTGCAGATGTGAACCAGTTGGTAGAGTGCCTGTCTGATAAGCTGGGTGTGGTAACAGGTGCCTGTAACCCAGCATGTGGGAGATGGAGCCAGGAGGACCCAAAATTTAAGGTTATCTTAGACTACACAGGGAATTCAAAGGCAGCCTGGCCTAGACAACAGCAATTACAACAAAAGACACCCCAGAGAAGGTCACCCTTTCCGCCATGTGAGAACATGGCAAGGATTCTATAAGAGTCTTGACCTTGAACTTCCAGAACTGTGAGCAATACATTTCTCTGTTTGTAAGCCGGCCTAGGGCATTTGTTACAGCATCCAGGATGAATTAAGACAGCCATCCAAGATGACCCAGACAAGCTCCTTGTGAGAATTGCTTTCCTGAAGAGCTGTAAACAATGTCTAATCCTTGCTTACAAAGTCCCAGTGACAAATCAAAATATGATCTGCTCATAAGGTCTCCATGACAAACCGGAGTATGATTCCACTGAACGTCACCCTGGGGAATCAGAGAGCTTACTGGGCTTACTTACAGCACACAGAGTGAGGGGTTGCTTACACCAGCATGGGTGACTACCACAGTGGAAAGTCTTCGCCCAGCATAGGTGATGGCTTCGCCATAGCCACCTCCATGGAGTCCTCAGTTAACCATCTCCAGCCTAGATACTGGAGCACCTCCTGAGACTCCAGGGCCATAGGCAACTCGGGCAGAATTGCATACAAGTGGCTGGGAGGAATCACTGGTATCTCAGGTGAGGTTCACTCACCCTCTCCAGCCTCTCCTCTAGGGAAGTCAACTGTCACCAAGCTCCATGTAATGGTCTCCTGCAAGCAGGCACAGTTGATCTAGGGGAAATGGTGATCCTTGACCTCAGAGAGCCCACATCAAGGCTAGGACAAATGAACGATTTACAAGAGAAACCACAACGCCTCAAGGGGTAAATGCAAGCAGAGAGGGTTTCTCTCGTCACCGGGGTTTGATGAAGCCTCACTCTGGGCGGAGTGACCTAGGCACCTTTGAATACAGTGATGGCACTGGAAAGCTTGAGGAATTGACTTTTCCCCCTAATGAACAAGGCTTTTAGTGATTTGGTGACATGTTCCAAGGATTGAAAGTTTCTGGATTCCATCTGTTGATGTGGTTTTATAGGACTTCCCAATTAAAGAAGGAATCATCGTGACTTTTGGTCACCTGCTGGGCTTGCTGGATCGCAGCCATCCCTTCAATCAGCCAAAGTAACAGAAAATGGTAAGAGCGGGGGCATCCTGGACAGCCTAGCACCGAGGGCTTGCGGAATAGCGCAGTTGGTAAAGTGCAGGGCCTGAGCTCAGCCTCAGAGCCCATGTACTGAAAAGCCAGGTGTGCTATGTGACCGCAATCCAGCCCTGAGGAGGTGGACATACGTGGATCCCGGCGGCGGCGGCATCCTTGCCCGGCCAGCTAACCTACTTGTAATTTCCAGGTCAGTTAGAAACCCTGTCTAAAAACCAATGGTGGATAGCGCTGAGGAACAACACCCAAGGTTGATGTGAGCACATACACATACACATACACATACACATACACATACACATACACATACGCACGCACGCATACACACACACATACACACACACACTCACTCATGCACGCACGCACACATGGAAAGATGTGGTCCTTTTGTTCTTGAACTCAGCCATCATGGTTCTCAGTACAAGACCTGCACAAGATGAGGCCCATCAACATCTGTCACAGAGTGGGGAAAGGCTCATGAGATGCCATCCCTCCCCAAATCAATACAGTTAATGGTGGCTGGGGAAAGAAGAGAGGCGTTTTCTTTACTGGTATAGCCACTGATAAGTTGCCCATGCTTCTGTAAGAAACCCTACATTCAGGGGGTCATGCTGCCCTGCCCAGCTTTGACCTACTAGCCTGAGTTGTAGACAATTTGATCATCTGGAAGAAAGGTTGTCAATGCCTACCTCAATATAAGCATTACACCTGAAATAATGAATGTCCATCAATGCTAAACCAAAAGGATGCCACGGACAGTGAACGAGGACCCTCAGGGTCCTTCTTGGCAGAGGACAAGGCTATAGGCCCTGCAACCAAGGCCTTCATCATGCTAGGCTGACTCCTCGCGTATGAGTGCCTTGGGTTTACATGGAATAAATATGACCCTGGAGAGTCTCATGTTGAGGTTTAGTCTCCACTGTTAGTTATGAAAAGGATGGACACCCAATGTGACCATGATACTTAGAAGTGGGGTTTTTGGGGTGTGGTTTTTGGGGTGTGGTTAGAGCAAGGTAAGGTCACCTGAACTGAGTCCCTGAATTGAACGCAGGTGGCTCTAAGGAGAGAGCCCAAATGAGTCCCACAGCACCCTTCTTGTCCCGTGCCATCTTAGGGCTCTGCTAGTAACATGGCACCACCAATTGTGGCCCCTCAAACTTGGACCTCTAGAACTATGAGCCGAATAAACCTCTTTTTTTATAAGCCCTGCCCCCCCATACATATACATGATTGAAAGAGAATATCCCTGGAACACATTATTTATAGTGATAAATACCAGGCTAAGCACTGGGAGAACTGGGCATCACTGGTCTACTGTCCCATTTGACAGAAGAAAAAGAGCGTGGAAGTGAAGTAACTGCCCAAAGCTGTAAGGCCAGATTTAGAACTTAGATCGCATTGTCTTCCAGGCCCGTGTTTCCCACCCGACTAAGCTGTCAAGTGGACAAACCATCAGTGGGCCTGAGGGAAGGACATGAAGCAAGTACTCATAGTTGTATACTTTATTTTTTGGTTTTAAAATTAAAATTTATTATTATTATTATTATTATTATTATTATTATTATTATTATTATATGAATGTGTGTATGACATATATGGGTAGGTACATGAACATGTGTGGAGGTTAGGGGACAACTTAGTGGACTAGGTTCTCTCCTTCTACCTCTGACCCTATTAGCCTCTGGGACACC